CTGGTCTGGTGGGAGGTGTCCCTGCCCATGGCATGGCGGGGTTGGAACTGGGTGGTCTTAAGGTTCCTTCCAACCAAACCATTCTGTGATTCTATGAACTTGTAAGACGTTCAGCTTAACCAAACACCAAACTTTTGGACAGCTCAGTTACATGAAATGAGGAGTCTGTTTTCATTACCCTTTTTGTTCTAATGAACATCCTGCATTATTTAGCATTCATACAGTTTTATAGGAAATACTTGATTTTTACAATTAATTTTTTTTTACTTCTGAAATTATATACTACATACTCAAAGAAAATACAGTTGCTGCACACAGAAGCAGCAATATCTTTCCATGTATCATTCTCTTCTCTTTCCTTGTTACCAAGGTTTTTTAAACATGCTAATGTCCCACCACTGTTTCTAAGATTTCCTGAATTTATTTGTTTGCTCCTTATTACGTAAGGAATGATTTCTGCCTGTTTGAATATCTCTCTGTGGGGAGTGCTGACATTCTTATCCACACTTCACTTGTCATTTCTAGGCCAGACGGTTAATATGATTTCCCACTATGAGCCACTTACTGCGTACAGTTTTAACATGTGTTGCAGCGAGGCAGTATATTAAAGTGCAGAAATGGTTTATGAAAGAGATGGATATTAAGCAAGAGTCCTTGGGTTCTTTTAGGTAAAGTCAGTTGTTGTACAGCAGAAATATATTCCTGATAGTGGTAAAAGGAAATACTGGTGGACCTCATATTCTGAACCCATCCTTCTCACATGAATACAGGAAAAAAAAAAGAGCTTATGTTGATGGATAATATCAAAAGAGGAGCGGCTGCAAGCCTGCGAAGGAGGGATTAGCATTCCAAATGGTGAACTGGAAAACACAGAGGACTAATCAACAGCATCTGGACAGTACCATGAGCTTTTCTCTGGGAAAAGGCTGAGGGCTGTAATGGTTCCCAAGCTGGATTTTTATCAGCACGGTGGAGATTTTGCACAGAAAGCCACGATGGTGTTGGGAGGCAAAGCCAGGTGTGTCGACCTCGAGATGGAAGAGGTGTTTGCTCTGCTTTGCTCAGTGCAGGACACTACCGTAG